ATATTAATTCATATTAGTTATTTATTAAGTTATTATTTTAAATAAAATTAAATTTGAGTTTTAAATATATTTATTAATATATATAAATAATAAAAAATTAAATAAAAATGAACATTAAATACAGAAACGAATATTTAGACTAAATAAATTTTTGTCCTGAATTTTTACAAAGTTTTTAATATATATTTGAAAAATATTTATAATAAAAATAAACTAAAAATAAAAAGAAAAATGCTTAAATAGTGAAAATTGTGAAAAAAGACACATTAAATATATTTAATTGAGAAAAGAGCTAAAATTTTTAAATACATAATATAAAAGCGAATATTGTTAATAATAAATGCAAAATAAAAAATGTAAAACTTCTAAATATTTTTGTATTTATGCACATGATGAAGAAGATTTATGGGTAATATATAAAAACATAATATTTTAATTAATATTAAAAAAAGAAATAAAATGAAAAACCTATTAAAAAAATAAATTAAATAAAATATGATTAAAGAATAGCATAAAAAGAATCTAAAAAAAAAAAAAAATTTGAAAATATAAAAGAATAAAAAGGTTAAAAAATAATAAAAAAAAATATTAATAAATATAAAAAATAGATAATTAAGAATAATAGGGTAATAATAATAGTGATATTAATAATGATATTAATAATAATAATAATAATAATAATAATAATAATAATAATAATTATAATAATATTAACATTAATATTTAATCAATATAATTATCGAGTTAAAAGTAAATTACTAATTAGTTTTTATAAGATTAATATTTCCAAATTCCTGAATAATAATTATAAATATAAAATGTTGAATTAGATTCAGAATCTAAATTTTTTAATAATAATTATAATAATAATTTAATTATCTATTGTAATATGATATTTAATAAAATCGAAAATATGTAAAACTGGGAATGTTTTTTATTAGATTTACTTTATTTTCTTAAAGTTGTCAAAAATTCTCTTTAAATATCAAAGATTGAAGAAAATAATAACACTTTACTTCTCCAATTAACAGGAAATAAAATTATTTGTTTATAACTGCTTCGTATTAGATCATATTTTAATACAGAATGCAGTTTTTTATTTAAATTAATATAATTTGATTAAGAATAAAATATTATAGATTTTTCAAATAAGATAATCCCTTTTTAATAAAACAAAGAATTTCAATTTACAGATTATGATAAGAAAAAATATTTTATTTTTAATAAAAAAGTTAAATGTAAAAAATAATACTAGGAAAGATTTTTAAACGAAGAAAGCATAATTTAGCTTGAACAAAAAATAACTAGTATCCTAAACAATAATACTAAAGGATCTATTTATATTGGATTAGAAAAAAACATGTAAAGGGAACTTATTTTGATAAAAATGATTTAAATTATTTGTATAAAAACTTAGATTAATGTGAACCAAGTATAAATAATAATATTTGCAAAAAATATATTTATGATGTTGTTATTGAAGGAGAAAATCAAAATGAATATTTTCTTTTAAATAATTATAAAATAATAAAATTAAAGGTTTAAGAAAATAATAATAATTTGCTTTATTAAACTTCCTAAGGAACATATTTTAAAAAACCTACATTTCCATGTTTTGGAATATAATTATATGAGTTATTTAAAAATAATTAAATTAATGAAAAACAATTAGCTATAGCATTAAAATAATTAGATAAAAGGTATTTTTTAGACATGATTTGTATGGCTGAAAATTGATAAAATAATAATAAAATTAAAATAATAATTATTTATAAAATTTGTGAAAAAAATATTATTTTAAAATTTTATAAAAAAATATATATTGATATATGAATTAAATAAATTTATTTTATTTAAATTTATATTTTTAATTTTAAATAAAAATATAAATTAATATATTT